TTATGTGTTTGTGCTCTTGTCTTCAACCGACAATGACTGCCTGCTTATTCCTTCTCTTTGTACAGATTTCATTCTTAGGAGGATACTAGTCATTAGATGATTGCCTGTACTAATGACTTCATCTTAACTTAATTATCTCTGCAAATACCTTATTTCCAAACAAGGTCATAGTCATAGGTACAGAAATTAGGACAGCATATTTTCTGTGTGTGTGACTGTGTGTGACTCGGTGTGTGTGTGTGTGTGTGTGTGTGTGTGAAAGGGGGGGGGAGAGAGACTGTGTGTGTACTGGTCTTCTTAGGCTTGAACTCAAGGCCTGGGCCCTGTCCTTGAACTTGTTTTGTTCAAGATAACACTCTACCCCTGAGCCACAGCTCCACTTTCAGCTTTTTGGTAGTTTATTGGATGTAAGATTCTTATGAACCTTCCAGCACAGACTGGCTTCAAACCACATTCCTTAGATATGTATGAGACATATATATATTTACATATATATATATACATATACATACATATATGAGAAGTCTTATTTTCTGTGCTTCAGTTTCTTGAATATTGCTTTTGAGGAGAGTAATTCAGACTTTGGTTACTTGTTTTCTACTGTTGAAGTTCTAGGAGTAAGGCCTGGTTTCTGTTTCAACCAGATAAATTTTGACATCAGTGAATTTTAAAACCTAAGTCATTTTGTTTAAAATGTGACAGTAAGATATGATAGGTAATAATAAATAAATAGTACATAGTTCCCTGATACCAGGTCCCTTATTCTTCAACAAAAACAGAGAAATGAAGTCGTTTTTTATTAGAATTCATTTATCTGAAATGGTTAGATATTTTAAGACAAAAGCTCAGGGCTTATGGTTTATACCCCTTTGAATCATTCAGAGGTATAGTCAGTTATCCAGGGAGTTAACTCCTGTAAAGTTTCTGAACCTTGGTATTTGTAGAGGCTCACAGTCAGTGCTGGTGTTATCTAAAAGTGAATGTAAATATAAAGGAGAATACAGTTACAATTCAACTGCTTATAAATAACTTAAGTCCTTTATGGCTAGGATGCTAGAGAAAGGAACTGGCAGAGTGCTGGGAATTTCTCTAGATTATCTCCTTTAATCTTCATAACATCCCTTACAAGTACTACTCAGGAAACTTTCCAAGGCTATTAAACTAGTGGGAGGCAGAGCTGAGATTTGATCTCAGGCCTGTTTTACTCTGAAGCATTTATTTAATGGCCTCTATCCTACCTATCTACTTTTCCAAGCTTCTCAACTGTAATCTCCTCTACTAAGATTAAGAGATGGTAAATGTCAAAATATGACTGGGTATTAAACCAAAGGCAGCATTCATATGAAGAAAAATAGAATTCTTTATACTTGTAAGGCATTTAGATTACAAAAATGGACACTTTTAACATAATCTTACCTTTTTGTTTCTGTCTTTTTTTAATGAAAAAGAATGTGAAATATTTAATAAGGTATTGCTACTGTTACTGAATTTGAGCTCTTTTAAAAGGATGTCCTCAGTTCATTGCTATTCACATCAATATTATTTCTCAGGATTGAACAGTTTGCTTGTTAAATTATGCTACTTTGGCAAAATGCAATTATTGTGGCAAAGTAGATTGAACAAGAAAATAGACAGGGAAATCTTTATTGATTCTTAACTTGTAATAATTTCAACCTGTAGAGTACATATTTTTGTTGTTTCCTTTGTGTGTATGCATGTGTGCGTGCATGTGCATGTGCGTGTGCGTGTGCGTGTGTGCATGTGCACACCCATGCACTTGTTCTTGGGCCTGTTTTGGAGACCCAACCCATTGCATGTGATGGCCAAGTACTGTACCAATAAGCTATGTACTTCAGCCCTTATGCTATGTTTTTTAATACATAATTCTAGAGAGTATTCTAATGGCCTATCTAATTTTAAAATTTAGTGGTTTGGGTCATCAGGTCTTTTTGGTTGTGACAGAAAAGTAGCTTCAGAAATACTAGCGCTTATCAGGAAAAGCTGTTTCAAGTACTAACAGAAATCTGTCTCATTACTCTTCTCTGTTTTCTTTCCCCATTAATGATGTCATTGTCAGACAGGCACTTACCATGGAATACCAAAAATAGCCATCAGCATTTCCACAATTACCATGTATGTGGAAGTTGAGTATCTAAGTTTGGGGGCTGGCTCCCAGGGCTTACTTGGCTCTTAAGCCATGCCATACTGACCACAGTTGGAACATGGACTGACTCTGGGCTATGTAGAGGATTCAGAATGGTTTCCAAGATAAACTTAAAATGCTGTTAACAAAATGAGAATGAAAGGATGCTGGACATAGCTTAAGAGGAAAGTTTTTGGAAGAAGATACAGCCAGACCTTTTATGTCTTTTCCTGATGAGAAAAGAACAAATCTGTTGCCCTGAAAGAGCATATTTAAGATTAACTACCATTGCCTGCAAAAGAAAAGGTCCAAAACATGGAATGTTAGGTATCAGACACCATATTGAGGTTGTTGTTTGTTTTACAAAAGTTGTAGCACTTATAATCATGAGGCAATGATAGCCGTTTTGGAACACTTACTAAATAAATAATTCTATTTAATCCATTTAATCCAGTACTCATTGTTCTGGTGTGGAAATGGAAGGTGAGAGCATTTGGATTTGAATACCGAAGTTTCTAACTGCACTTCACTTCACTATTGTAGTCTCACTTCTACAGTTTGCTTTTGTTGTTGTTTGTTTATCTTTCCACCTGTCGCCCATCCCTTCAGTCTTCCTGCTTCAATCTCTGCCTAAATAACTGGCAAGTACTCTTGTGCCCAGTCACTGGTTCCCTGAGTCCTTCCCCACCTCTGCTGTTCTCTGGGAGCACACACAGTAAAGGCTTGGCTCCCACTTTCCCACTTTGTATTCAGCCTGGCCTTCCTGCCTCTCCAGTCTCAATCAGTCCCATTCTCACTTTCCTAGGAGCAACCTCACGATCTGATCTTATCAGCCATCTGTTTTCCTTGGCAGCTCTTGATCTTGCCTCTGGCCTGCCTTAGAGCCCTGCTCCTTCTCTTTTCCTGTGCTGCTGAGCTCTTACACTTCCTGGGGCTGCCTCTTTATTCACTTTAACTCTTTAACTTCTTCTGGTCTGAACTAAAACACCATTTCACTCCTTAAATCAGCAAATCTTGAAACCCTTCCCCTTGAAACCCTTTCCCTTTTTTCACTTGTTATACATTTATATTTGAGCATTGCCCTATATTCCCTACTAAGTGGTGAACTCCATGAGGGTAGGGACCACATTTTTCTGTTTTTGTTTTTGTTTTATGCCAGTTCTGGAGCTTGAACTCAGTTCCAGGTGCTGTCCCTAAACGTTTTTTTTTTTTTTTTTCCCTCAAGACTGGCACTCTACCACTTGAGCTACTTCTGGTATTTTATTTTTGTATATATTTTTATTGTAAAAATACTATACAGATGGTTCAGCTCAGCTATCTGTAAGATAGAGTAAGGTAATGAGTACATTTCCTATCAAGCATTGTTAACTCCTCCTTTGTTTTCCCCCCACCATCCCTTGGCTTCCCACCTCCCCAACTCCTCCTCCCCCTCCCACCGAAGTTGTAAAGTTTGTTTTCAACATAGTGTCTTGTACAACTCATTGTTACAATGAGTCAACCTATATCCTTATTTGTTTTGTTATTTCCCTTCCCCTCCCCAAATTAGAAATATATATATATATAGGATTCAGGGCACCAGAATCCCATACAGTGAAAACGGATACCATGGGGGAAAAACATACAAAAGAAACAAAAAAATCACGTAGTAGTACATTATAAGTACTTCAAAAACAACAGCAAGAGAGATAAAAGCATTTGTGTCTCTATCTTGGGGATCATTTCACTTAGCATCAGGTTATATGGTCATATGTACATAGCTTTTGACCTTTTCTGCTTGTCCTAGACATATAGTAGTTGTTGCAAATAAGGGAAACCATGGGTCCTATGTTTCTTTGGGCCTGGCTTACTTCACTTAATATAATTTTTTCCAAGTCTTTCCATTTCTGAACAAATGGGGCAGTGTCATTGTGTGTGTGTGTGTGTGTGTGTGTGTGTGTGTGTGTGTGTGTGTGTGTGTGGCATTTTCTTGATCTATTCATCTACTGAGGGGAATCTATGTTAGTTCCATATCTGAGCTATGGTAAATAATGCTGCCATAAACATAGTTGTGCTGGTAGCTTTAGTACAGCCTTGTTTGGGTAAATGACTTCTGGCATTTTAGTTGTTAATTGGAGATAATATAAGTGTCTCATAGACTTTTCTGCCTAGGCTGCCTTCAAACTGATTCTCAGATCTCATCCTCCTGAAAAGCTGGGATATTAGGCTCCAACTCTGTTTGATTGATTATTGACTCTGGCATCTACTACAGAACCTAGAATACAATACTCAACTATGTGATGAATGGATTTATATGCCCACTGTACACTTTCATTCATTTCCTCTGACGTGTGTGTGTGTGTGTGTGTGTGTGTGTGTGTGTGTGTGTGTGTGTGTGTGTGTGAATTGAACCAGTAATAAATTTCAGGGTACATACTCATTTTAATTTGACTTGAGAGTGATTGACTAGGACAGGGAATAAGAAGACTCTTGATTTGCTCAGATGGCCTCCTGTCCAGTGACACTAACTTTTATGTGCCTTCCATAGAACCCAGACATCCAAACAGCCTTCTCTACATGTCCTTGCAATTTCTGGCTTCCGTCTATACCAAGACTGGCATTGGAAGAAGCTCTTTTTCAAGTGATTTGGTACATAAAATATTCATTCCACCTTTTGTGATAATAACTTTGTGGCATGGTGGTGGTTATACCTGAAGCCACCTGCCCCAGACTTACTAGCTGCTCCAGTATAAGATTACTGTCTCTGCACAAATGTGGCCCTCTGACATGCACATAGGTACATCAGCTGGAAAATTTACTATACATGATCATCCCAAGAACTGCCCATAATATAACTTCTCACCCCTTTTTGAATTCACAGTTGGTCATGTTCAGAGTTGGATGTAAGTGAGATTCGCCTGATTGTGTACCAGGACTGCGAGAGGAGAGGCAGACAAGTCTTATTTGATTCCAAAGCTGTTCAAAAGATGGAAGAGGTGGCAGCCCAGGTAGGAAATGGTGCATAGTTTTCTTTGATCAGTAACTTATCAATATATATTCTTCTGTCTGAATTATATTGTACAGCCAATAATGGCTCCAAAGCAACATAAGGAGATCTTTTTCCCAAGACAGGCATGCACATGTCTATTAACACAGGTGAAATTGGTAGTACATAATCATGGTAGGTGCCAGTGTTGTGTACCATAAACATCAGGATTTGTTGGTAATTGCAGTCCCAATAAGATTTTGAGACCATGTGTGTTATCAAATGTAGTAAGAGAATAGAACTCTTAACATTTTAAAGCACTAGCTTGTTTGTTTAAAAGGAAACTAATATGTCATTCTGTCCAGTGTTTCTCATAGACATTAACAAGTATTCTAAAGCTGGGCATGGTAGTATGTACTTATGATCCCAGCATCTAGGAGGCAGAAGTAGGAGGATTATCTATTCTAGGCCAGTATAATTAAATTTTAAATAAAATTTCATCTTAATTTTGAATTTTTAAAAAAATTATTATTATTATTATTTGTTCAAGGGTTTGAACTTAGGGCCTGGGTGCTGTCCCTGAGCTCTTTTGCTCAAGGCTATCATACTATCTCTTGAGCCCTGGCTCCACTTCAAGCTTTTTGGGTAAAGAGATAAGAGTCTCTAGGACTTTCTTGCCTGTGCTGGCTTCAAACTGCTGTCCTCACATATCAGCCTCCCCAGTAGCTAGAATTATAGGTGTGAGCCACCAGTACCTGGCTATGAATTTTATTTTAAATAAAATTAAATAAAAGGTATTATAGCACTGAGTTAAACAAGCTAAATCGGGCTTTGATATGCTAAAATGCATTGGCATCTTCAAAAAAGAATATTTTTCAACCCTAACTGACAAAGGATACTTGTATTCATTTCCTTTTTGTGGGGAGTTGGATTGGAAAGGTGGTAGACATTAGGAATGATCTCTTTGAGGTAAGAAAAATCTGGACTTTGCTGGAGCTGGTTGGATATCAGTCCAGGATACTTATTGATTGTTATAATAGGATTTTTACTTCAGATTTGTTCAGTTGCTTATAAGTTAAATAAATCTAGTACTCATTTTTTTCATGTTTCATTCTGGCAGTTGGTAGAATGTTTAGCTAAATAACTAAGCAGTTTATAATAGTTTTATCTCATCAGGGCCAATGAGCTGTTTTCCTTCTTTTGATAAGGATCACTTTTACAGAAAGGAAATGTACTTTATTGTGGCATTCTACCAGGTAGCTAATCATTACAGTGGTTGTTGCTGTGCTTGCTAGGTAGGTAGAAGGGAGGTCTGAGGAATCTCTCACATGATTCACCTGGGCTTTAATGGTAGATTGAGATCAAAAGATTAGGTGAGCCAGCACTTAACACATAATCTACTGTACACAGGATGGACATCCACATCCCTATCAGTACAGCTGCTAACGGATGAAGCAGATGGAGGGAAAATGGTTTCAAAGGAAACTGGAGTTCTCAGTCAGTATTCCTGAGCAATGGTAACTCTGCAAACTGGGCTATAGACTTTCTTAAAAATATTCATATAATCAAAAAGGCAGTTTAGGTTCAAGGACATTTGTAGCTTGCTCAAGACCATAAAAGAATCTGGTTGGTATGCCCTCTAATTATAGATCATCCAGTGTGCTGTACTCTAGCCAGAGGGGCAGGTAGTCAGAAGCAAGTAGAACTCCCTCTGGTTTCTTAGGAGTTGTGTTTCTAGGTTAAGTGGTGTTAAGTAGAAGCTAGATCTGAAGAGGGTGTTGAAGGAGTGCTGGGTGTTCGGTTAACACAGGTTAACTTTGAGCACTGTCAGTACTGGAGTGACTGACTGTTGTGGACCAGCATATTTTATGTTTTCCCTATGTTTGTTTCCTATTTACAGCTCCTCTACCCCCTTAGTAAGCACACTATGTCATGAGTTTATATCAAGCACATGATTGCAGGCATTTGCAATAATAGACCACCAGTGTGACTGTCACATTGAAGATTAGATAAAGCTGCAGTTACATTCATGGTTTTTCAAAAGCCACATAAGGAAAAAAAAGGCAAAGAAGATTCAGAATAGAAACTACTTCTCATAGAGGCTTTGGGATACTCCTATAGAGAGTGATATTACACACACACACACACACATAAACACGTAGATGATGATGGTGAACATCAATGGTGTATCTTGTTTTTGTTTTGTTTTGTTTTGGTCGGTCCTGGGTCTTGAACTCTGAGCCTGGGTGCTGTCCCTGAGCTCTTCAGCTCAAGGCTAGCGCTCTACCACTTGAGCCACAGCTCCACTTCTGGCCTTTTCTGTTTATATGGTGCTCAGGAATCAAACCTAGGGCCTCATGCATGAGAGGCAAGCAGTCTACCACTGAGCCACCTTCCCAGCTCCATAATGGTATATCTTCATATACTTATATCACTGTCATAAAAATTACCAATGAATTTTACTTCAGGGAGTATATAGTATCTGTTACCTATAATCTTTAAAGACCAGATTCCCATCACGTGCTCAGTTATAGTTCACAATAGCTCCTGTTTCAGGGTTTGGCTTCATCTTTCACAATTTCAGCCTTATGATTTTTTTGTTTTTTGGTTTTTTTTTTTGGTCGGTCGTGGGGCTTGAACTCTGGGCCTGGGCGCTGTCCCTCAGCTCTTCAGCTCAAGGCTAGTACTCTACCACTTGAGCCACAGCGCCACTTCCGGCTTTTTCTGCTTATGTGGTACTGAGGAATTGAACCCAGGGCCTCATGAATGCAAGGCAAGCACTCTACCACTGCGCCACCTTCCCAGCCCCAGCCTCATGGTTTTTCTTGTTATCTTTAAAGGAGTACGGGAAAAGGTGTCTAAGTTAATAGATGTGTTTTGTTCCATTTACTTTGTAAAAATTTTAAACTTGAATTGTCATCTTGTTCCTCACCAGTTTCATGCATTTTACTCTATAGGTATTAAAACCTAATAACCAAATCCAAGACCAGTTTTCATAGTTGATTTTATAATATGGCTTTAGATGTACATTCTAGTAAAGTTATTTAAGGAGAATAAATCTTAATTTCTCAACATTTTCTCTCTAGAACCATTTTACTAGTATCCCTTTTCATGATCCCTCCTCCTAAATATTATAGATATTCAGAAACTATATTTTTGTAATCATTATAAAGAAAAATTTTAAAGAGCTTCTTGTTTTTAATGCAACACAGGCACCACATGTTTTGATGAAATCATTTCATTGAATAGCATGTTGAAGAAGCCTGATAGTGTTTACAGACCCTTTTCCTTGCCTGCCTTTCTTCATCCAGAAAACAGAAGATATTCCTGTTAAAATGTCAGCCAAGTGCTGTCAAGGAGGCAGCAGTGTCAACAACAGTGTCAGCAGCAGCAGTAGCAGCAGCAGCAGCAACAGCAACAATAGTATCTTTTCTCATAGTTCTTCTGGAGGGTCTTTACCACAAACCAAGGAGCAGCTTCCAAAGTACCAGGTAAGATATACCTTTTCTAGAACCATGCTTGGAGCTGAAATAATTCATATAAATTCTTTTCAGGTAGGGATACCAACTTGAAGGCTTTGCTCCATGAGTGTGGGGAAAAGCACTCAGCAGTGACTAAATTTTTCTGTCAGTGCTGTTTTCACACTTTGGCTCTTATCCATCCACAAATCCTATTCTCAAGCAGAGGAAATACAGCATAATTCATAATGAATGAGGAAAAAATATTGTAAATGAGCAAAAATTCTTGTTCCCTGCTGTCACCCACAGAATAATAAGTCTGTGTTTTCCAGTTTTGCTACATGAACATTTTAGAATTCTGGAAATACATGTGAGCACCCTTAAAAAATAGAAATCACCAATATAAGGAGGAAATTCATACACAGGGGAAGGAAAGGACAAAAGCAGGCTTGATTATGAGGGTGAGATTCTTTGTACTGCATATAAATGTACAAGTATGCTTGATGTGCTGAAGCATGAGGAATAGGACCATTGAGAGATAGTGACTCATGAGATAAAAGGGAAGAAATATTTTTTTACTTTAGTTTTATTTTGTTGTAAAGTGATATACCAGAGGGGTTACAGTTACATCCATAAAGGTAGTTGAGTACATTTCTTGTCAAACATTGTTACCTTCTCCCTTATTTTTCTTCCACTTTCCTTTCCCCTCAATGGTACCTCCAAGTTGTACATTTCATTTCCAATATATTGTCTTGTGAATATCACTGTTGCATTGGTTTACTCTTTACCCTTTCTAACCATTTTGTTGTTCCCCTTCCCTTCCCTAATTCAGATAAACGATATACAATCTACAGTGTACCAAAATCAAATACAATGACAAAGGATAGAAATGGGAAAAAAGGAAAGAACCGCATACAATACATTAAAAACAATCACATAAATAACAAAAAAAGCTCCTCTTGTTTCTATATCTTGGAGTTCATTTCATTTAGCATCATTTTATATGGTTGAATGTACATAGGTATTGAGTTATTGTGATCCTCTGCTAGGACATATACTAATTATTACAAATAAGGGAAACCACGGAGCCTATGTTCCTTTGGGTCTGGCTTCATTTAATATGATTTTTTTTCTAAGTTTTTCCATTTCCTTACAAATGGGGCAGTGTCATTCTTTCTGATGAAAGCACAGAATTCCATGGTGTATTATATCACATTTTCTTTATTCATTCATCTACTGAGAGGCATCTGGGTTGGCTCCATATCTTAGCTATAGTAAATAATGCTGCAGTGGACATAGTTGTTCTGGCAGCTTCAGTGTGGCCTGGTTTGTGATCATTTGGGTAAATGCCCAAGAGTGGGATTGCTGGATCTTAGCAGAACACTATGTCTAGTCTTTTGAGGAACCTCCACACTGGTTTCCAGAGTGGTTGAACCAGTTTATATTCCCACAAACAGTGTAGTAGGGTTCCCTTTTGGCCACATCCTCACCAGCACCTGTTATCATTTGTTTTCTTGATAATGGCCATTCTAACTAGGGTGAGTTGTAATCTCTACATGGTTTTGATTTGCATTTCTTTTATGGCCAGAGATGTTGAACATTTCTTGATATATCTATTGGTTATTCTTATTTCATTTCCAGAGAAGTCTCTTCTTAATTCTTTTTTTTTTTTTTTTTTAAATTTTTTTTTTTGGGTCCGGTCGTGGGGCCTGAACTCTGGGCCTGGGTGCTGCCCTCAGCTCTTCAGCTCAAGGCTAGCGCTCTACCACTTGAGCCACAGCGCCACTTCTGGCTTTTTTCTTTTTGCTTATGTGGTGCTGAGGAATCGAACCCAGGGCCTCAGGCATGCAAGGCAAGCACTCTACCACTGAGCCATCTTCCCAGCCCTCTTTTTAATTCTTTAGCCCACTTATTAATGGGGTGGTTGTTTCTTTGACGATTTTTTATTGGGGTGGGGTTAATTTTTTGGATATTTTTGATATAAAGCTCTTGCCTGTTGTGTAAACTAGTGAAGATCTTCTCTAGCTTGTGAGCTTTCTGTTAATCTTGGTAGCTATGTCCTTTGCCATGTAGAAGCTCTGCAGTTTAATGTGGTCCCAATCATCCAACCTTTCTTTGATTTTTGTATTTCTGGCTCTTTATTTAGGAAGTTTCAACCTGTGCCAAAGAGCCCTAATGTATCCCCTATCCCTTCTTGTACTATTTTCAGAGTATCTGCTCTTTTCTCAAGGTCTTTGATCCATTTGGAGTTGTTCTGGTGCAGAGCGATATTTAAGGACCTAATATTTTATTAACATTTATAGAAAATGGCTATTAATTGATTCAGGATATATAAACCTTTTTGCTTGTTTTTTTTTTTTGTGTGTGTGTGGGGGGACTGGGGCTTGAAATCAGGACCTGGGCACTATCTCTGAGCCTCTTTGTGCTCAAGGCTAGCACTCTACCACTTGATCCACAGCACCACTTCCACTTCTGGCTTTTTCTGAGTAGATCATTGGAGATAAGAGTCTCATGGACTTTCCTGCCTATGCTGGCATAGCATCACCAGCCTCAGATCTTAGCCTCCTGAGTAATTAGGATTGCCACTGGTGTCAGGCTTTTAAAAACAACACACACACACACACACACACACACACACACACACACACACACACTCACTCACACTCACACATATAATTTTGTTTACTCTGTTTCTAGAAAAGAAGAGTGAGGGAAATTATCAGTAGCCACATAATCTTAACTTTGTAGTCATAACTTGTGCCTTGCATTTGTCTTTATTTTATAGTGATTACTGTTTAAAAAGTATAGAGTGACATTTTTGGCTAGTTGATAATCACAGTTAGCACATGTCCTTGTACCCTTAGAAAACACAAATGATAAAGCGGAGACAATGGGTGGAAGTTAATAGGAAAGGATATACATGTAGTAGGAAAAGGTTGGTGTGAGCTGTAACCAGTGAAGAATTCAGCCCGTTAGCAAGGCTGACAGATTTTTCTTTCTCTTTCCTAATGTGCCACTGTGTATAAAGAGAATATTTATGTGTGCATGTATGTGAGTAGTTGGCATTGAAAACAATGCAAAGATCCAGAAGCAATTGTCAAGGATACTTTCAGTGTTTGCCCTTGTATGGAAATCCCTCCATCAGAGAATCTGGCTGATAGGTCAGCCTTCAGAGAGGTGATTAGTTTTAGTCAGGCTGTACTGAGGTGCCTATGGCATTCTGATTTGCTCAAAATATGCTCTGTTCATTAGTATGTCACCAGGACTGAGCAGATTGAAAGAATCCTACACCTAATGCATTGGGGTAGACATTATTATTGTTGTTATTCCGATTATTATTTTGGCATTACTAGCCTTTTAACTCAGGGACTCATACTTGCTAGGTAAACACTCTACAACTTGAGCCACACTGTCAGCCTTTTGTTGTTGTTGTTGTAGTAGTTGCTTTGGTTATTTTTGAGATTTTTTTTTTTAACCCAGACCCACCTGAACTGTGATCTTTCTACTTAATGCTTCCCACGTAGCTAGCATGATAGACAGACACTACCATGCCTAAGTATTTTTGTTGAGATGGGGTTTTGTTTACTTTTTTGCCCAGGTTATCCTCAAATTATATATAACCTGGTCTTTGCCTCCTGTGTAGCTGGGGTTACAGGCATGAGCTATTGGGCCAGAGATAGTGGAGTTTAAAGCCCAGAAATAGGTCAGGTCAAAGAGATAAAGATAGGTATGGGATATTTCTGTGTAAATAGTAATTAAGGTCAGGCTGGGAGCAGGTTTATCCTCCTAGAAACAACTATATTCAAATGTTGATCTGAAGAGAAGAGACTCCAAAAGGAAAATCATTAACAGATCGGCTATAGGGAGAGAACTTTAATAAACAAAACTGGATGATACCTGTTTGCATAAAGGAAAGCACAGATTAACATTAGAGTAGATGGAATAGATGGAGTAGTAGAAGCAAAGTTAGGCTAGGTTGACAAAAATGTAAATGAATGAGTGTAAATGCAGGATGTAGGTTGTGCTTAGCATCTTCCTAAAGTAAAAATTTAAAAAGATAAAGAATTAGAGACTGATCAGAAAGTTGAATACTTTTTAATGTTTTTGTAAAATATTTAGAGTAATCAGACTTAGTTTGGACCTACACTAAACCTTTCCTGTACCATTGATCATTCAGTCATACACACACGTGTATACATACATACATACATACATACATACATACATACATACATACATATAATTCTTTTTTTGCAGTTTTAGGATTTGACTTGAGCCATGTCCCCCAGTCTCTTTTTGTTTTAGGGTATTTTGTTTTGTTTTGTTTTGAGACAGGGTCTCAGATTTTTTAATAAGGCAAACTTCCAAATGTGATTCTCTCACCTATGGCTTTCCTTGTAGTTGAGAGTATAGGCAGAGGATACCATGCATAGCCTGTTGGTTAAGATGGAATCTCACAACTTCTTTGCAGGCTCAAACTGCTATCTTTCTGATCTCCTACTCCCCAGTATCTTGACTAACACTGTTAATTATTGAATAATACTGACCCATATTTCTTTTTAGGATGTGCTTAAGAGTTTAAAAGGAGATAATAATAATTTTTGTTTTTTTATATTATTTTAAAAGATCTCTGATAAAATACTTTAGTTTAGTGTGAGCATATTGAATATAAAGAAGTCAAGAACATTAATATTTAGGGAGAAAGTCATTATAGATTATGATTATAAGGAGACCAATTGCAGCTTTAAGAAAATAGTTATAATTACCTAATAACTAAAGAGATAATTCAGAGATTAATAAACATTGTTTTCTCTTGTGTTGTACATCCTATTATTCCACGTATTGACTTTGATTTTGGTTTCTTGCATATAGTACACAAGACCAGCTTCTGACATCAACATGCTGGGGGAAATGATGTTCGGCTCAGTTGCAATGAGCTACAAAGGCTCTACCTTAAAGATACACTATATACGGTGAGGTTGGCCACCTTCTGCTTGTGAGAAATAGTTTGGAAATGTTGATTCCTAAATTAAAAAACTCATTTCATTTCTCCTCTCTTTTTCAGTTCTCCTCCCCAACTAATGATTAGTAAAGTTTTCTCTGCTAGAATGGGTAGCTTCTGTGGAAGTACAAATAAGTAAGTGTGAGAATTTTCATTCCTTTCTTTTTGTGGGGTGTCTGTTTCTGCATAGACTGCTTCTTTGAAGGACACAAGATATTTTGAGGGCCTGGGAATGTGGCTTGGTGGGAAAGTGCTTGACTGTCATGCATGAAGCCCTGGGTTCGATTCCTCAGTACCACATAAACAAAAAGCTGGAAGTGGCTCTGTGGCTCAACTGGTAGAGTGCTAGCCTTGAGTAAAAGAAGGTCAGGGACAGTGCCCAGGCCCTGAGTTCAAGCTCCAAGACTGGCAAAAAAAAAAAAAAAGATATTTTAAAATGCAAAGCTAGATGAGTGCAGATGAACACAGGATTTACAGCACTTACTAATAACAGTGAGTGGGAAAAGGTCTTGACTTTCTCAGCTGGCCTTAAAACAAATAATTGGTTGCTTTTATCTTGGGTCACCATTTGTCATCCCCTATGTACCTACTGTCAGTCATCAAGTTTTACTTCTCTTGAAAATATAAAAGGGAAAAAGAAAGTAGTTACATTAATGATTTTGTGCTATTCCCAGGTATTTATCTTTTTTGGGTGGGTAGGGGAGCTAGCATTGCTTTGTTACATGCTCAGACTGGCTTTTACTGGTAATCCTCTTGCCTCTGCCTCCCACATGCTGGGATGAGCAGGAACCACAAGTCTGGCTTATTCTATGTGTATAAAAATCTTACTTATTTCTCAGTGATTGAAAGTACTTTCTGTTGTTGTTTTTTTTTTTTCCTGATGTATGACACTGATGCATAACAGTGGTTGTCTGTATTTTCCATCTATCCTAAATAGTCAGTTTAGTCTTTGTGACTGGTGGGACTTGATCCATGTAGTATTTTGAGTTTTGTTGATTTCCCAGTTTTTTTAAACAGAACTTTTTTGCAGTATGGGGCTTTGAACTTGGCTACATGCTTGCTTGACTTGCTTGTGCAGCTAGTTCTCTACCCCTTCAGGCATAACCCCAAAATTTTTGTTATTTTGAAGATGGAATCTCATAGATTTTTCTGCTTAGTCTGGTTTGAACCAAAATCTTCACATGAGTAGCTAGGATTATGTTTGTTTTGCTTTTTTGTGTGTGTGGTAATGGCAATAAAACCCAAGTCCTTTGTGTGTGCTAGGCAAGCACTCTGAACTGAACTTTATACCTTTTTTTGTTTGTTTGTTTTGTTTTGTTTTTTAAAGTCAGTCATGGGGCCTGAACTCTGGGCCTGGGCACTGTCCCTCAGCTCTTCAGCTCATGGCTAGCGCTCTACCACTTGAGCCACAGAGACACTTGTGGCTTTTTCTGCTTATGTGGTGCCGAGAAATCGAACCCAGAGTCTCATGCATGTGAGGCAAGCACTCTACCACTGAGCCACCTTCCCAACTCCTATATCTCTTTTTATGCTTCTTTGTAGACCAAGTATACGGAAGTGTCTTAACTTAAACTCCCACTATATATCTGTTTGTATATCTGTTTGTACGTTTTTAACTTTCAAGCAGAAATACTTCCTGTGTTTTTAAAATAAAATAATGAAGACTGTTACACTTTGATAAATTTAAAAGACATTCAAAATTATTGTAAATTTTTAGGGGTCACATGAAGGTTTTTTGTTGTGCTTAGTGGTGGGGTTTGAACTGAACCTTGCACCTTGCTATGCAGGTGCTCTATTACCCCACCCCCAGCCCATGTTATTTTTATTATTGTTATAATCATCATACATTAGCTATACTAGGTTCAATTGTGCTATTTCTATGCATGTGTATGATGGTTTCCAGTCAATATCTCCTTCTCTATGCCTACCCCTTACTCCCCTCCCTCTTTCTTTCTAATATAATTACAGTAGATTGTTCTGTTTCATACATGTTAACAATCTATTTTCATCATATTTATCATCTTTCATCCTTGTCAGCCCTACCCCTTTGTTTCTCTTTCCTGTTTTCCCAAAGCCCATATTGATCAACAACTTTTATTGACGATTATTATGCTGTTTTTATATGTGGTTAGAGTATATCTCAAAATATTTACCATTTATTTATTTATTTATTTAGGTCTGGTCATGGAGCCTGAACTCTGGGCCTGGGCGCTGTCCCTCAGCTCTTCAGCTCAAGGCTAGCGCTCCACCACTTGAGCCACAACACCATTTCCAGCTTTTTTCTTTTTGCTTATGTGGTGCTGAGGAATCGAACCCAGGGCCTCATGCATGCAAGGCAAGCGCTCTACCACTGAGCCACCTTCCCAGCCCTGTTTATTTTTGTTGTTGTTGTTTGTTTTTTCTTTTTTTCTTCCTCCCACCCCCTCTAATTTGGTACCAGTTCCAGGGCTTTAACTTAGGCTTCACACTCCAGTTAGCTTGTTTGCTTGTTCACTCACTCACTCACTCAGGGCTGGCACTCTACCATGTGGCTATATCTCTAGCCCCCATGTTATTTTTTAATAATCTTAGGAAATTGAAAATATTTTCCACTGCATATCTCAGTACCATTCAGTCTTTGCTAACCCTTGCAACAAAATAATTTAGGCACCTATCTTTATCTACTTTATTTACCCTTTATTTTGGTCTCAAACTGGAGATACTCTGTCTAAGAGTATGAAGTACTAGGATTATAGGCATACAGCACCATAGCTAGTTGATATTTCTTATGTATTTTTTCTGCCTCCCCCATATTTTATTACACTAGATTCATGTAATAAAATATCAATCTCAGAATTAAGTAAAAGTTACTTTGACTTTACTATGCAATGTTTTCCTCAAAAAATGTGATATTTAGTTTTTAAAAAAATATTTTTAAGGGCTGGAGGTGTAGCTCATCTGGTAGAGTGCTAGCCATTTAGCAGAAGTGTCGGGTACCAAGTTTGCATCCTAATCTGAGACCTGAAAAAAAGAAAACTTCTAATCTGCTTCCTCACATTTTTTATAAATTCAAAAGTTTTGGGGGGCTGGGAAGGTGGCTCAGTGGTAGAGCACATGCCTTGCATGCCAGAGGCCCTGGGTTCGATTCCTCAGCACCATATAAGCAAAAAGAAAAAAAGCCGGAAGTGGTGCTGTGTCGCAAGTGGTAGAGTGCTAGCCTTGAGCTGAAGAGCTGAGGGACAGTGCCCAGGCCCAGAGTTCAGGCCCCATGACTGGACCCAAAAAAAAAAAAAAAGTTTTAGAAGTTGTGAAATCCATTTCATCATAATTTCAACTTATCTTCCTCCTGAAAAAAGTTGCTGAATTATTCATAGATGTTAGCCTAGAGTTAAAATTAATTTCACTTTGAAGATTTATTTGAAGTCCTTGAAATGAGTAGCAACATGTTGGGTGTCAGTTGTTAAGCAAAATATAGACGTGAATAGCAGTATTTTATTTTATTTTATTTATTTATTTATTTTTATTTACTTTTTAATAGCACTATTTTAGATGTCAGTCATTGAAGCAAAATTTAGACCCTTTATAGGATATGAAATGGATAGAATGTAGTTGTTTAGTATGCATTGGGTAACTTCCAAAAATCTTTCCTCCAACAAGTTTCCAGCAGTTGCCAACTTTATTTCCCTTGGTATATGTGGTATTCATTTATAGAGAAAACCATTGTGTAGTGACTGGTTAATTGTCTATATTTGGGAGTGTATCTACTAGAAAGTAACTTTATTAGCCTTTTGATATCTTTGTCTTCTCTCTCCCTCCCCACTCTGGATTTAGTTTGCAAGACAGCTTTGAGTACATCAACCAAGATTCTCATATAGGAAAACTGAACGCAAATCAGAATGGTTTGGGGCCTGGTCGTACTGGAAGTAACTTAGGTAAAATGAGACATAAAAATTTTTTTCTCTCTGAGTACCACTATTATGGGTGTGTTTTGTTTTATTTGAGTTTGTTGTGCTGTGTTGTTTTGATTTGGTTTTGCATTATCTTTAATCTATGTTTATTTTGTGTGTATGTGTGTACTTTGTTTGCCGTCTCCTGTGTGTTTCTGCTCTAGGTCTGCTACAGGCTTGCAGCAGCAAACTGCTGCAGGGGGTGGCTGAAGGAGGACCTCTCCGGCTCACCCGGAGTGCTTCTTTCTTTGCAGGTTTGTGTGGAATGCTGAGTACAGTGTGGCCCACACACATTAATCAATTCTATGCAGCTTCTTGTGGAAAAATCTACTTGTGCTTCTCTAGAAACCCAAGGGGCTCTCGGGATAAGAGATATTAGTTTTAAATGTATGTTTTGAAATGTCTGCCCCTAAATTTTTATTGTGAACAGCTCTGTTAATACCACAGTATAAGCTGATTTTGATCTGAAATGAGCCCTTAGTGTTTCTAAGAGGATTATTTTTTCCTGACTTTTCTGAGCAGCTGCTGCTGCTGTGAACTCTTTTCCTTTACTACAGTGTCCATTATACGTTTATCCACTTTCATCATTACATGCATGGAGTTTCTCTAAAAGTTATTCTTCTGTAAAAGAGCATGGGAGGTATATCTGTTTATCGATCTATCTCTTTCTGTCTCTTTTATTTAAGTAATAAGTACAATTTCTAGGTTCCTAATAGGTATAGTCATCTTGGTGTTTGGGTATTTTCTGAGATTTAACTGGCTTTACCAGCTAAAACTAGCAAACATTAACAAGTTGGGGATCTTCATTACTAATTTAAGGTTGTTAGTATGACAAATGTCTTTTATTTGTCAAGCTTTGTAGACGGAAATAGGTTGAGCGCCATAGTTATCTGACACTGTAATGAAACTGATGCCCTCCCAGCTTCTTACAGTGAGGCTACATGTTTATATCCATAGAGTTGTGAAAATAAGCATGCTTTAAAAGACATTGGCAACTTTCTGACAGGACTCTGGACTTCTTGTGTGGTATAAAAATCAATAGAGAAACTTTTCATCTATCTTCCAGCTCAGTAAATATACAGCTTAATTCAATCTAAAGCCTTCCTAGAAAACTATGATACTTAGGCATGAATTTTCAAAATTCATGAGTTTTTCCTATTAACTGTATAGTACTATTTTATATGGCATATATGGGAAACAAGTGGAGGAAGAAATGCTTGAAATGAATATAAATATTTTCTATCTGCCAAGAGGAGAGTCACAAGCACAGAAACATTTTTTGCGTGTATGAAATATTCTCTTTCAAGAGTTGAATATCATTCAAAAATGTCTATGTGCTCCAGTAGAACAAAGACAGATTCTTTTGTTTCCTTCTTTCTCTAATCCTTTTTTATGTATTTAATTTAAACTTAGTCCAAATAACTAATCTCCTTTGAAGTATGAAAATTAACTGTGGCTTTAAAAACATATCTCTTATTTTGGAAAGCCTAGTAACATGTTTTCCTTGTACTTGTATCTTAGCACATAGCACACCAGTTGATATGCCAAGCAGAGGACAGAATGAAGACAGGGACAGTGGCATTGCTCGATCAGGTATTTCTTCATACTTGTTTAACTAATACTGCAGGCCATCCACTTATGTGTAGAATTGAGAAAGGAGAAAATAGGTAAGTATCTGTGTATCTGTGTCTCTGTCTCTGTGTCTCTGTCTCTGTCCTCTCTCTTCTCTCTCCTATCCTTCTCTCTCTTCTCTCTCTTATCGTTCTTTTCCCTTTGCCCCTCTTTTCTCCTCCCTTCTCTTCCCCTCCTTTTCCCTTTCCTCTTTCTTTCCTCTCTCCTCCTGTCTTTCCCCTTCTCTCCCTTCCCCACCACTAATTTCTATGCAGAAATCTATATGAGAAAAATTGGAGTTTCACTCTATGTTGATCTAACTGATAGAACCTTACCTATGTTTCTTTTTCATATATTTACTTCATAAATATAGCATAAAATTTACTACTGTGTTTGTGTGTGTATGTTGTATGTATGTACACCAGTCTTGGGGACTTGGGGTGCTGTCCTTGAACTTTTTTGCTCAAGGCTTGTGCTCTACTACTTGAACCACATCTCTCCTGGGTTTTTTGTTGTTGTTGTTTTTTGTTTTTGTTTTTTTTTGTTTGATGGTAAGAGATTCTCAAGGACTTTTCTGCCTGTGTTAGCTTTGAACCTCAATCCTCAGATCTCAGCTTCCTGAGTAAACTAAGATTACAAATATGTGACGTTGGCATCCAGAATCACATAACCACTTCTAATGTAGACTTCAATAGTACTAAATATATTCATAATGTCATACACATGTAGTTACATAGACTTACTTATACTTTTAAATTTTCTTTGCAGCCTCACTAAGCAGCCTTTTGATCACACCTTTCCCCTCTCCAAGCTCCTCTACATCCTCTTCAAGCAGTTATCAGCGCCGCTGGCTTCGAAGTCAGACAACAAGTTTGGAAAATGGCATCATTCCAAGGAGGTGAGTTGCAAATTTCCTCTTGCTAAGGAAAGTACTAGTTTAGGCAGTTTAATGTACTTAGAGTAACCATCCATGCCTGTTGTCAACGGAAAAAGAACTGATCCTGTGTTTAGCTTCAGCTTAGCCTGAAAACTTACCAGTTAGAACTTCAAAAGAGGGAATGAATTAAAACAGAAACGTTGAGTAATACTTAGGTAGTTGTACCATGTGTGCAGTAGACTTGATGTTAAAATGCACATACTATCTTTTAAATCTGGATACCTTTCAGATGTAGCTCTGTTAGTTAGGAGAAGTAAAACAAATCTCTTCTTTGGTTTCCCTGTGCTACTTGAAAATATATGACAAATATATAACATATGTTATATATTTTTCTGATTGTATTAGGAGCATATTCTCTTTGTATAACTTAAAATTTTAAACTAAACAAATATCAATATGAGCATAGAGACACATTAAGGTATTTTATACCCTCGTTTCAGTTGATTTTCCAATCTGAAGTTTATGTGTGATGTTAACACCAGTACCTTCCAAGGGTTTGAGTTATTCCAAGGAAATGAGTTATTAGGTTTACTAGTAATCACAATGTATAAGGATCTGTAAAGATGTAAAGATGGTTCAGTTATGTTTTGGACTTACATAGTTGGTAGACTATTAGGGAAGATACAAGTAATGGCACAGTTAGATGTGAATTGTAAGATGGTGAAGGGAAGAGCAAGATAGAAAGAAAAATTGACAGTGATAGTTCACTGGGCTGCTTGCTTATTTGGTTGGTGGACTTGGAGTGGAATGATTGAGAATTTTGAATCTAATATGACAACAAATCCCAGCTCTTCCCCTCTTTCATTGTGTGATGAAAATTATTATGTGGATTCTATGTGTTGTTTCCTCATCTTCATCAGGATAATGTGATAAAGCAAATCCTGTGACTAGCAAGAATACGGGTATAGTTGACAAAATTGGCCAAGAAGATACTATTGGTATAATTATTACTTGAGTTGGCACTACCACCATCCAGTTGGTATTATGACAACCTCTATGATAACAGACAGATCTGGAAACTTTTTGCTTTAGACATCTCTACTATAAATATGCTTTGAATTGCTTCAGGTTTGCATCAAAAGTAGACTGTGGCCTTTCTCAAACTCCTGAAAATTTTCAGAATTTTAACTTGAACAGAGACCTGGCCATTGGGAACTAATGGATCTCTTATGAGCTACCTAAATTATTATTTTATATTTATAAAGCCTGGAAAGCCAGGCATGCAGAGGCTCACACCTGTAATCTCAGCTACTCAGGAGGTGGAGATAAAGATTGAGGATCAAGGCTAGCACAAGCAAAAACTTAACAAGACCCCATCTTAACTAAAAGCCAGGTATGTGATTCATGCCTGTGATCCCAGTTAAGTGGGTGGATGTAAGTAGGAAAATTATGGTCTGAGGCCAGCCCTCAGAAGACCCTACCTGAAAAGCAACAAAACCTGAAAAGTACCTAAAGCCAAAAATGGAGTGAGCACATGGATCAAGTGATAGAACACCTAGCAAGTGTAAGGCCCTAAATTCAAACTCCCACTATTGCTCTCTCTACCTCTAAAAAAATCCTGGGAATGCACTCAGGACTGGTTACATAATTTATGGGGCCAGGACAAAATGAGAAGGCCAGGCCCTTTGCTCATAAAGCAGCAAAAATGCTACTAAAGAAAACAAAGGAGGGGGTAACAATGCTTGATAGGAAATGTACTCATTACCTTACTCATGCAACTGTTACTCCTCTGTACTTTACAATAAAAATTAAAAAAAAATATAATATGTAAGGCTTTGTCTAAAAATAACAGTTCTGGTATTTTAAATAACAGTAGCAAATATGGACCAGCATAAGGTTTTTTTGAGGCCTTCCTAAAGATTCATTTGTTACATTATTAAAATTTACACTTAAAACTGGGAAAAAAATTGAGGGAAGAGGTGACACTGTTCAAAAAGAAATAGCTTGGCGCTGGTGGCTCACACCTGTAATCCTAACTCCTTAGGAGATTGAGATCTGAGGATTACCGCTCAAAGCCAGCCTAAGGAAAGGCCATGAGACTTATCTCCAATAAACCACTAGAAAACCGGAAGTGGTGCTGTGGCTCAAGCCGTAGAGTGCTAGCTTTGAGCTGAAGAGCTGAGGGACAGAGGTCAAGCCCCACAACTGACAAATAAATAAATAAATAAACTCATTACCTGACATATAACTGTAACCCCTTGGTATATCAAGAAACAAGCAAAAAATAAAATAAAATTTATACTTTTAGCAGGTTGCTTTTCAGTCCATACTAAGAACAATGTTAGTTGCTCCTAACAACTTCAAAGTGGCCAATACTTTTTTATAATTTTTTACTTAGATATTTATCTTTCTACCAATTCAGAGTCCAGTATTAGGGGAGCTTTATGAACTATGAAGATTATTGGGATAAATTTCTGATAGAGTAGAAATTTCAGTACACCTGATCAGATGGTTCTTATGGGATAGTTTCTCCCAAAGGATTTTGGTTTTTATAAAGATCCGTTTTGTATAAGTCTGACTTTCATTTTAGATGAGTATAAATTTTAATATATGGCTAATTAATGTTTTCTTGACATTTCTTGTAATTTCTGAATATCTTAAAAACTAAAAAGTGTCCACATGAGTTTTATAATTAAGAATGCCTGCTAATGTGTTATATCATTGATTCTATCACATTCTTCAAATATGTGAAAATTTTCATTGCAAAATGGTCTTCATTAGTAGTAATAATTTGGTCACCTAAAGAATCTTTGGATGGGGCTGGGAAGGTGGCTCAGTGGTAGAGCACTTGCTTGCATGCATGAGGCCCTGGGTTCGATTCCTCAGCACCACATAAGCAAAAAGAAAAAAAGCTGGAAGTGGTGCTGTGGCTCAAGTGGTAGAGTGCTAGCCTTGAGCTGAAGAGCTGAGGGACAGCGCCCAGGCCCAGAGTTCAGGCCCCATGACCGGACTTTCCCCCCCCCCCCCTCCCCAAAAAAAAAAAAAAAAAAAGAATCTTCAGATGGAAACTTTTCTTATTACAGCAATCTTTTCACTTAATTATTTATTTCTTTTTTTTCTATATCTTCTTTAGCATCAATTAATTGTACAAGGGTGTTTCATTTGGCATGTAGATATATGCATACAATGTTTCTTGATCAGACTCTCCTCTTCCATTACTTTCCTCATTCTCCTCTGCCATTTTCACACATGAACTTAAAGTATTTTGACCACATTTACTCTCCTTTATCCTTGGTTTGCCTTCCTTCTCCTATTACCCACTTCTGACATTCTTTTTTCTTCAAGATTCAAAGGAGTCTCATAGTGGTATTTCGCACATGCATATACAGTATTTTCTATATCACTACATGTGATTATTTGCTTTTTTAAGGAGCAGAACTGGGGTTTGAACTCTAGTCCTTGTATTGCCTGTTCCGTAGACACCATCCCAGCAGACACCAGGATGTTAAATGAAGTCTCCATGTACACTGTCCACTCATACTTCCTGCACCCAGTCATAACTCTTACAAGGATCTAGGATTCCCACATTATAATTTCTGGGCAAGTATTCTACAACTTGAGCCATACTGCTAGCCCATAAAATTTGCTATGTAATGTTTATTTTAGCAATGTTTAAAACCAGAGATAATTAACTGTTTGATGAATTCTAGTAACTCCCTGACATACTTTGTTGTGGTGTTCATGTAAAGGTTTTTTAATTTGTGATAATGTGCTTGGGCTTAGGTCAGAAAGTAAAATATTTTTGTAGATGCAATGAGCATAGCTCTATGGAGAAGCAGGCCTTTGACTGCTGTTCTTGTTGGAGTCCCTCCCTCCCCTCTCATCCTTGTCCCACAATATGGCCATTGCTGATGTTTTAGCAGTCAAAGCCATTAGTTTGGGTCCAAGCCCCAGCCTTGCTACCCTGGGGGATCAAGCACCCTAGCCTTCCCTAGACAGCAGGCTTATATCTAACTACCAGGCAAGTTGTTGATGTCAGAGTTACATGCTCTATTCATGTACTAGCTGCCCCCTTATGTCTTTACTGCTTGCATACATTTGCATTGTTCCATTAGACTTTAACAACATAAGATCAAAGATAAAATTGTTAGAGGGGTCCCAAGTGGCAGTCACAGGACAATGTACTAAGCCTGGGGGTGTGGGGGGGATCCTTAGAGCAGTGTTCAATGACCATGATGCCAGTCCTTACAGCAGTACTGTTTAAAACTTGTATATTTGTGATTGGCACCTTTTATTTAGCCTATAACTACACTTGTTCTTTTTAACATTTGTATTAGCATACATTAATTGTACAGTATATGTATATATATGTGTATATATATATACATATATATATGTGTATATATATATATATATATATAAATGATTCATTGTGAGATGTGTGTCTGTATACACATACATGTATGTATATAATATAATTTGGTGACTAGTGTTTTCAATTGGTTTGAGACTGGTCTTGAATATAAATTCTCTTGTCATCATGCCTAGATGAAAAGTACTTACCTTTTTCATATGCACATATATTACATTTTCATATATTTTAATTAGAATAACTCCTTCTATTGCTTGCTCTTTTCTGGTCTCCCTACCCCTGTACTTAAGAGCTTTCAATAATTTTTGTTGTTGTTATTTTTGGTTAATTGGAGATAAGCATCTGGTATGGAACAGAGATCCTCAGACCTCTGTCTCCTGAGTAGCTAGGATTACAGGTGGGAGCCATTCAGACTCTGCTGTTTTCTTAGTTTTTGTTTTTGTTTTTTATGATTATCATTCTGACTAGGGTAAGATAGAATCTTAATGTAGTTGTGATTTGCATTTCCTTTCTAACTGTGAATATTGAATAGTTCTTCATGTATCCATCAGTCATACGTACTTCTAAGAACTGTTCAGTTCATTTGCCCATATATCCAATAGGGTTATTTGTTTATTTATTGTTTAATTTTTTGAGCTCTGTATATTTTGGATATCAATCCTTTATCTGTTGAATAGCTGGTGACAATTAAAAATCAGTTTGTTATGGTAGCAATACAAAGACAGTGATCAAAATATTGATTACTGTAATGATCAACTTTTTGAAATATCATAGCTTAAAATCCTAGCTATCAGGAATCTGAGATCTAAAGATTGAAGTTTGAAGCTAGCCCTGGCAGACAAATCTGTGAGATTCTTATCTCTAATTAGTCACCAAAAGGCTGGAAGTGGAAGTGCAGCTTAAATGGTAGATAGAGCACCCGTGGTGAGCAGTAAAAGCCAAGCAAGAGTTCAAGTCCCTGAGTTCAAGCCCTGCTACCATCACAATTAAAAGCAATTATTCTTGCTTCTGGCTTAGAGAAAATGTAAGCATTTGTCATCTTGAAGTACTTATATATAAATGGGTATCCGTAAGTGTAAAAAAACCCTATTTGATTTCTTTAGAAGGAATAACCTTGACTTTTGTGAGTGTTATCTATAGTGTTTGCTAGCTTGAAGCCTATCATAATGCATCAGGTGTCATGAGCAGCAGCAGATAGATCAGGTACTAGCCAGAGTCTAGTTATATTCACTGTCCAGCAGATGAGCCTAGACTAACAGGCAGAAACCCTGGTTTGTAACTCCAGCACTCTTATTGAAAAAAAAAAACAAAAACTTTCTGTTCCCAGGGCAACTGAATAAGCACAATGCCTTAGTTTCTTCATTTGCAAAATAGCCTATGTACCTTACCTGGTGGCTTGAAGTAAACACATTCTCTAATGTCTTTTTATTGTAGAAAAATACTTATAAGCCTGGTGTTTGTTTTCACATTTGTAACCCTAGTTCCATAGAGAGACTGAGAGGATCAATTAATATGAGTTGAGGCCAGTCTAGTAGGCAGAAAAGTTCATAAGACTCCATCTCCACAGAGGGAAATTGGACAGAGTGGAATATGCCTGGAATCTCAGCAATTCTGGGAGCTTAAAAGTAGGTGGAACCCTCACCTTGGAGGGGAGAGAGAGAGAGAGAGACAGACAGACAGACAGACACCGTACCCTAAATCTAACCAGTGGAAGATATGGCTCAACACTATCTCACTGACCTAGCAAGTACAAAGTGCTGAGTACAAACCTCCATTACTGCAAAACTAAGAAGGAAGGGGAGATTATTCCAGTTTTCAAAATTGATGTCAGCCTACAACATGAAGCTCAGTTGTTTTAGACTTCAGGAATGTATTGAAGCAAGTTAGAGCTGGCCCCTTTATTATAGCCATGGAAATTTTGCAGAAATTCAGTAGATGGCACTCTCTGCTATTTTAGAATTGATGACAGAATTGTCTGTTATTCATAGAACAGAGATGAAGATGGTGAATAAGGCTGCATAGAGCCCAATGCTTATACAGTATGTAGTATGTTTATTGAAGATTATGTTGAACAGAAGAGAGGTGAGTCTTTCTGCTTGAGGGATTTTCCAGAGAGCGCAGTAGCTCACATGGTTTCAACCTGAGCATTTAGAGGAATAGCTTTGCCCAATGGTTTTAATAACCTTAGGAAAGTTAGCCTGAGAATATATACAAATATTCAAATAGAATATCTGTGTTAAACAGAATACCATATGAGATCTTTCCTCTCCTGACATTTCATCAGTTGTTATCTGTTAACCAAAACAAAAGACTTAAAAAAAAAAAAACTTCTGAATAAACAGGTATCTTACAACCCATCTAAAACCCACCAATGTGGTATATAATAACCTGGGGAAAAGGAGGAGAATCTAACAAGAGGATATTTAATTATTTTTATTCAATTTCTTTTTATGTTAAGATAAAAATGTGTGACAAGTGGATGTTAGTGTTTTTTTATAATGGAGATTCACAGAAGAGAATGAATTGGGGATAGATGAATTTTTAAGTCAAGGCTCTGAATCTTCTGAATTAGCTTTCTTTGTCATCCTTTGATGTGACAGTTTACCTTCAGTGTATCTCATTAATGTAGGCAAACTTTCAATCTTACTTTTCTTTTAGATTGACTGATGATACATTTAGTTTGGCTGAAGAAACCTGTAATTCAAATCCAGCCATGGTTAGGAGGAAAAAAATTGCCATCAGCATCATCTTTTCCCTGTGTGAGAAAGAAGAAGCACAACGGAACTTCCAGGACTTCTTTTTTTCTCATTTCCCCCTGTTTGAATCTCACATGAACAGACTGAAAAGTGCAATTGAAAAGGTACTAATGATTATATCCACTGTCAAGTACAGGTGATTGTGGGACTTTAAAAATGATGAGTCTCTGACTATGTGTCAGATTACTTTCCTAAGGAAGTTAAATCATCCCCACTAGTGATGGATCCTGAAGATCTTTGGTGCTATATATCAAGATACTTGCTGCTTTAGAAAAGGAAATTTCTGCTTTCTGCTGAATGAGAGCATTATTAGTTTGAGAGCTTTTAATTGATCATAGTATCAATTTTTATTGAGGCTAAGTAGGTAAGTTATAAAGGAATTTCTTCTCAGGGAGTAATTTGGCACACTTTCTCTCCCATTAAGGTCATGATCTCCTGTAGGAAGATAGCAGAATCAGGTCTACGCGTCCAGTTTTATGTCAGCCGCCTGATGGAGGCTCTGGGAGAATTCAGGTAAAGTACAAGGTTTGGAAAACCTAATGGGAAATTGATAAGCAGCATAACTAGCGTTAGCTGTGGATTTTAATGTTGCAGAGAAACTCTTTACACAACTGGGAGACTGACAGTTATTAGTCATTTTAGTGCCTTTACGCTTCAAGATTAAAAACATACCAAATGGCACAAAACATGTGAATAATCTAACACTAAAAAATATCAGTATGGTAAACAGTATTTTATATGATTCTTCTAGCAGAATGAATGGAAAAAATTAATAGGTATGTCTATAAGTCTATCACACAAAAACTCTAGGGGAAAACACTACTTACCCCATCTGACAGGTGGAAACTTGTGTTCAGAGGTGGTTTTCTATCAAAGTACACATGGACATGTGATGTGTGTCACCAAGACCTATATTCCAGTTGCTGGGACAGTCCTAGTTCACATCCAGTGCCTTCCTGTAAGTGTCCTTGTCTAAATATGAAGTCCTCTGATGATTGCTTTCCTGTGTTGTGTCTCCCTGGAGAGTTTCTAACAGATAATCTTTGGAAACTGGTTTTCTAGAGTCCTTGTTCCTGGTGTCTGGGTAGAAAGGTAATCTACTCTGGGTAGCAGGTGGGAATCTATTGAGTCAAACTATTAATTTACAGACAGGGAAAAAGTATTTTATAGCTGAGAAAATATTAGAACATTTTTGTGATGCTTATGGTATATCTATAATGCTAATTCGAGCAAAATCACTACTCTTTTTCTGAATTCTGGGCTATATGTAAAATATTGTGACAATAGTAAGACTTACATATTTGTGAACTATTATGAAAGTGTGTGTGTGTGTGTGTGTGTGTGTGTGTGTGTGCGCGCGCGCGCGCGCGCGCGCTGGGCCTGGGACTTGAACTCAGAGTCTGGGCTGCTCAAGGATAGCTCTCTACCACTTGAGCTATAGCTCCATTTCCTACTTTTTCATGGTTAATTGAGAAGAGTCCCAGAGTTTTCTACCCAGACTGGCTTTGAACCATGATCCTCACATCTCAACCTCCTATGTAGCTAGGATTACAGGTGGGAGCCACTAGCACCTGGCTGAAGTTGCACTTATTGATGGCAATTTGATAATTAGAAAACTGTTCATACTTTATGTGGGCAGTGCTGAATTTATTTCTCTGCAATTGTCAGACTCAAAACTAGTTTTTGTTTTAGAGTACAGGTGCTACTTTAATGAAAGAATTTTTCAGGGGTCAAGAAACTGAATATACAGAACCAGAAATTTGTACCAAGTCTATCTTTTTCAGAAATGGTGACAAGATTAAGTGCTAACATTCAGAGACTTTAGTTTTAGTAAGTGAATCCCAGTACTGTGTAATTGTAACTTGTCATTGCAGCCTAACTTGGCAACCACTGCTCTTTTTGCCAGGATGGGTTTCTGTTCTTTCCCAATTCTTTCATACATGAAGTTAGCAGTCAAATTGGAATGTGTTTCATCGCTCCTGATTTGGGAAAAGTAAATGCATTTTTTTTTTTTTTTGGGTCTGGTCGTGGGGCCTGAACTCTGGGCCTGGGCGCTGTCCCTCAGCTCTTCAGCTCAAGGCTAGCGCTCTACCACTTGAGCCACAGCCCCACTTCCGGCTTTTTCTTTTTGCTTATGTGGTGCTGAGGAATTGAACCCAGGGCCTCAGGCATGCAAGGCAATCGCTTTACCACTGAGCCACCTTCCCAGCCCCAAATTTAAATTTTTTTTTTTTGGGTCCGGTCGTGGGGCCTGAACTCTGGGCCTGGGCGCTGCCCCTCAGCTCTTCAGCTCAAGGCTAGCGCTCTACCACTTGAGCCACAGCACCACTTCCGGCTTTTTTCTTTTTGCTTATGTGGTGCTGAGGAATTGAACCCAGGGCCTCAGGCATGCAAGGCAAGCGCTCTACCACTGAGCCACCTTCCCAGCCAAGTAAATGCATTATAAATTCAGAGTTACTCTCCTGACTGCTTCCACCTCTTGAATGCTGAAATTATACTTTGGAATCTTGTTCTCTCCCTGGACTGCTTTACTATAATAATGGTGTGTGGAGGCTGGGAAGGTGGCTCAGTGGTGAGTGCCTGCCTTGCATGCATGAGGCTCTGGGTTTGATTCCTTAGCACCACATAAGCAGAAAAAGCTGTAAGTGGTGCTGTGGCTCAAGTGGTACAGTGCTAGCCTTGAGCTGAAAAGCTGAGGGACAGTGCCCAAGCCCAGAGTTCAGGCCCTATGACTGACCCCCCCACTTCCCCTCCCCCAAAAGAAGGTGTGTGGCACCAATGGCTCAAGTCCAGGCAGAGAAAGTTCTGTGGATTCCCTCTCCAAAATAACCAGCAAAAATCAGGGCTGGAAATGTGGCTCAAGTGATAGAATACCTGCTTAATTAGTATGAGTCCGTGACTTTTCAAAACCTGATGCCACCAAAAAAAAGAACCACCCCCAAATCCAACATACATACATACATACATGTGTGTGTGTGTGTGTATATGAAATAACAAAAGCATGTAGTTGGTTTTTGTTTTTGTTTTTGTTTTGGTCGGTTGTAGAGCCTGAACTCTGGACCTGGACTCTGTCCCTCAGCTCTTCAACTCAAGGCTAGTGCTCTACCACTTAAGCCACAGTGCCACTTCCAGCTTTTTCTTATGTGGTACTGAGGAATCAAATCCAGAGCCTCATGCATGCAAAGCAAGTAATTCTACCATTGAGCCACCTTCTTGGCCCAAAACCATGTAGGTTTTAATGAAAAATATACATTACAACCACTTAAAACTTAAGTTGTAAATTCTGGCAAAGAACATTGTGAATATTTATTGGTGCCGACACTGGGGCTTGAATTCAGAGCCTCACACTCTTGCTTAGCTTTTTTGCTCAAGGGTAGGGCTTCACTATTTGAGCCACCCCTTCACTTCTGGCTTTTTGCTGGTTAGTTGGAGATAAGAGTTTCTGAAAATTTTGTCTATCTGGGCTGGCCTCAAATCTCAATCCTCAGATTTTACCCTCTTGAGGAACTAGGATTACGGATGTAAATTTTGTATACGAACTGGTGTACTAGGCCATCTACCCAAGCCATAATTTTTTAATTAATGTTTTTATATTAAAGATGGCAATATTTTTTGGTAATGGATATTTGTCAAAAATTCTCTAATTAGTAATTGTCCTGTAAAAGCAGCCATAAACAATATGTAAATTGCTATACTAAGATTAAATATTGTTTATGTATCCCTTCTATCTTCTCTAGAGGGACTATCTGGAATTTATATTCTGTTCCAAGGATAGCTGAACCAGTGTGGCTTACCATGATGTCAAGCACTTTGGAAAAAAACCACCTGTGCCAGCGCTTTCTCAAGGAATTTACAATTTTGATAGAACAAATCAACAAGAACCAGTAAGCTTCAACTCTCTGGAAACACCTGTGCAGATTCCATAGCTAGTGCATGTACTATATAGGACATGGATTATTCTGTTGAATGATCTGTTTTATTCCATTTCTCCCAAGGTTTTTTGCTGCCTTGCTGACTGCAGTGTTAACCTACCACCTGGCCTGGGTACCAACCGTCATGCCTGTTGACCACCCTCCCATTAAAGCTTTCTCAGAGAAGCGCACCTCTCAGTCAGTGAACATGTTGGCCAAAACACATCCTTATAATCCTCTCTGGGCACAGCTAGGTTAGTACCTAAGTTAACTGTTCAGAAACTAAATTGGACAAAATGGCAAAATGCTAGATTTTGTAGCTATATTGGCTATCCAACCCAGTTATTCAGGGATTGTTCCTCAGCAAGCAGGAAAGGAGGTTGATGGCAGTTTGTAGTTGTCAGAAGAACTACTAACATTTCTCTCTTTTCCCCTCTACAGCAGCTTTGTTATACTCTTATAAAGCAGTGTAACTAAGTGTAAATAGCATAGTGGCTATTTACTCTGGAACTACTTAGACTTTGGGCCCGAAAATTCTTTTGGCTGATGAAGCAGGTAGAAAGAGTTGTTTTAGGCATTGTAGGATGTTCAGCAGCAACCTTGGCCTCCACTCACTAGATGCAGTAAGTAACCCACTCTGCCCCAAATTGTAACAATCAGAAATGTCTCCAGACATTGTCAAATGTTCCCCAGGGACAGGGGCAACATAATAAACTCGGTGACATCTTTAGCCCTAGAGGATGTCTTGAATGGGGAAAAAGAAGACAAAAAAAAAAATGACAGTGCAATCTTACCATCTTTCTCACTAGCATAAATCCAAAGTTTTCTATGTTCTTGCATTCTTGTGATTAGTGGTGGAAATTACTTCTTCATTTATGTAGAGATAAAAATTGAGTGCTTTGTTGTGATTGGTTATAGAATTTGGGTTGTGTATCTGGATTCAGGTGATAGAGAAGTGTGCTTTAGAACTTCACATTCATCAAACATTAAAATGACAAAATAAAACTCATGCCATATTCTGTCCCTCACCTGTGCTACATTCCAAGAAGTAGAGTTGTGTAACACAAGCTGCTTATTCTCATGAAGCCAGCTGCCTCATGGACAAGGTGGATCCCTATTCATGTGATTTCAAAACATCTTGATTACTGCTTTCATGGGATAGGGGTATGCAAGGGAATACAAGACAGAAGATAACATGTAGGTTTAAAAAAAAAAAATGATGGGCCTACTCTGGATCCCAGATTCTATGGGCAAGTTATTTAACCTTAGAGTTAGAATTCACTTCTCTTTTTTGGTACCGGGGATGGAATCTAGGGCCTTTCAGGTGCAACATAAATGCTCTGAACTGAGCTACCATACCTGTTTTTGTACTTGTCAAATAAGATGGTTGAGCTGGGCGCCAGTGTTTCATGCCTGTTATCCTAGCTACTCAGGAGACTGAGATCTGAGGATCATGGTTCGAAGCCAACCTGGGCAGGAACATCCGTGAGACTTTACCTCCAGTTAATGACTAGAAAACCAGAAGTGGTGCTGTGGCTCAAGTGGTAGAGTGCTTGCCTTGAGCTGAAGAGCTCAGGGACAGCGCCCAGGCCCAGAGTTCAAGCCCCATAACTTACCAAAAAAAAGGTAGTGATAAGACTTCATGATTATTGTGGGATAAAATCATTTATATAAAACCACTTCTGTTAGGAGATGCTAGTGCTGAAAATATATATTAAAGGTACTTAGGGTGAATGTGGGGAGAGATGGGATCTTCTATGGAAGTTTACTTTAGTAAATGTTCAGACTGAGAAAGATTATTCCAGTCTTAGTAATAGCATGTTTTAATAACTATAACAAAAGCGGACGCTATGAGCCAAACACTGTTTTAAGTGCTTCTTAAACACACCAGTTTTATATGGCAATTTTACACACCTGCTGATGTGTGAGTCACTGATGGGTGATGCATTGCATACTAATGAGTGGTAAACTTTCTTACTCTTACCCTATTGTCTTTACTCTTTAGCTTTTAAGATACCTTCTTGTGTTTGTACCCTGGGTCATAAAATGTGAAAGAGAAATATGTAAGGCAATAATAGGTTTTGTTTTAGATGAAGCAACTGAAGAATTTATGGGTTGTAAAACCATTTTAAACCCAACAACCGGTAAACTCACCTATAATCGTAGCTACTCAAAAGGCTGAGATCTGAGGATTGTGGTTCAGAGCTGGCCCAACAAGACACATCTGAATCTCCAATTAAATGTCAAAAGCCAAAAGTGGAGATGTGGCTCAAGTGACTGAATGCCAGCTTTGAGCAAAACAGCTAAGCATGAACATGAGCCCCTGAATTCAAGCCCAGTACCTGCATCAATAAATAAATAAATTTAAGTATAATACTTCATTTTTATTTTTTTTTTTATTTTGTCAGTCCTGGGACTTGAACTCAGGGCATGGGCACTGTCTCTGAACTTTTTTTCTTTTTTTTTTGTCGGTCGTGGGGCTTGAACTCTGGGCCTGGGCGCTGTCCCTCAGCTCTTCAGCTCAAGGCGAGCGCTCTACCACTTGAGCTACAGCGCCACTTCCGGTTTTCTGGCAGTTTATTGGAGATAGGAGTCTCACGGTCTCTCCTGCCCAGGCTGGCTTTGAACTGTGATCCTCAGATCTCAGCCTCTTGAGTAGCTAGGATTACAGGCGTGAGCCACCAGCGCCCAGCTCTGAACTTTTTTTTTTTTTGCTCAAAGTTAGCACTGTACCACTTGAGCCACAGCACCACTTCTGGCTTTTTTTTTTTCTATTGTCCAGAGGAATCTAACCCAGGGCTGCATGCATGCTAGGCAAGCATTCTACCACTAAGCCACATTCCTAGCCCCATAGTTTATTTTATAATACTTCATACAAAATGAGCACAGAGCTCAGAAAGACCTTGGAACATGCCTGTCTCACTCAACTCTTCCTGAAGACATACAATGTCGTTGTTTCTTAACAATGATCTTGAAAATGTAGTATCAAGTGCGGAAAGTAAGTAGGTTGGATATTAGGGAATCAGGATCTTACACTGCCAGTTTATCAATAACAATGCTAATTAAGCAGTGTGCATTTAATTAGATACATGTGTTTATAATTGGGCATGCTTTTCATTTGAAATTTAGCTAATTGGGAGCCATTAATTCTCTATGTTTAGCACTACAAGGCAAAATCCCTTCCTATGGGCTCACAATTATTCTTTCCTTCTTCATTGAAGACCATATATCACTGAAGGAAGCCCTTGCTTCCCCAAACAATTAAGCTGGGGCTTAGCTGCTAAAAGTAATGTGAGGAGGGATGAGGCCCTGGTACAGAGAAGGCATGTGAAAATTTTATAAAGTCAAGTGTAAATGATGGTTGAGTTTCTACCTTTACAAAAATTCAAAGCACTTCCATGATTTGAATTTATTCCTCTCCTCCTTTAAACATTTAACAAATCACAGTAAACAGGAAAATATAAACTACTGGAAATACTTAGGCAAGCTTAACTTTAATCCAGTTTCTTAAGTAATAGAAAAGATTATACTGAGTTATTTCAACGATTTTCCCAAAAGCTCATTAGGAAAATTAGAGTTGTTCTGTCTACCTCTTCAAGGCATCTTAGCCTTCTGGTGAAGGGAGGAAGAAGCTGTAGTTAACCCCTTCATGCTCTCAAGGAATTGCAGTTTAGGACTTGGCAATTGTGCATCCACCTCACACTTGCTCTGTGCACAAGCATTTCCCCAGTGAGGGTCACCACTCACTAGTGTATAATAGGAAGCATAAGTGACTCACACATTAGGTTTTGTAAAATGAATTTTAATAGGTGTGTAAAATTGCAGTATAAATTGTGCTTTTTTATTGTCAAGGTGATATATAGAGGGGTTTCAGTTACATAAATAAGTAAGGTAATGAGTACGTTTCTTGTCAACCTTGTTAACCCTTTCATCAATTTTCTCCTTGTTTCCCTCCTCTCAACGTCACCCCAAGTTGTGCAAATTGTTTTCAACAGATTATCTTGTGTATATCGCTGTTGCATTGGTAATCTCCTTGTCCTTTATCTCCCCATTCTGTTGTTGTTCTTCCCTTCCCTAATCCAGATAAACGTATATACAATAACAGGGTACCAAAATCAAATACAACATAGGATATATCATAGGGGGAAGAACCATAAGGGGAAAAACAAACAAAAAAATGACATAGTACACTAAAAACAGCAACAAAGAAAAACTTCTTGTGTCCATGTCTTGGTGTTCATTTCATTTAGCATCATCTTATATGGCCATATGTACATAGCTCTTGAGTGATTCTGCTCATCTGCTAAGATTATTGCAAATAAGGGACACCATGGGACCTATGTTTCTTAGGGTTTGGCTTGCTTCACTTAATATGATTTTTTCCCCAAATCTTTCCATTTCCTTTAAATTGTGCTTTTTTTGTTGTTGTTTTAATACACAAAGTTTTTTTTTTGGGGTCCAGTAGTGGGGCCTGAACTCTGGGCCTGGGCGCTGTCCCTCAACTCTTCAGCTCAAGGCTAGCGCTCTACCACTTGAGCCACAGCATCACTTCTGGCTTTTTTCTTTTTGCTTATGTGGTGCTGAGGAATCGAACCCAGGGTCTCAGGCATGCAAGGCAAGCGCTCTACCACTGAGCCACCTTCCTAGCCCCTAATACACAAAGTTTGAAACCCACTGAAGTGATGCCACTGATGGAAGAAGTTTCTTGACAATCTCCCTTTGACCTAATAAGTGTTGAGTATTTCTGAAAATAAAAAGCAATTTTTGTCTTCAAAACAGGTTTGGTATCATTGATTTTAGTGTATACAAATAAAAAACCTGAAATTCCTCTATATTTTTTTGAAGTTACAGTTGCATATTTTCAGAATGCAGTGAAATTAGACTATAAATCAGTTAAAAAAATTCCCATCTCAGAAAATGAATAGCCACATTTAAATAACTTAAAAGCTGGGGTTTGTAAAGCAGCATACATACCTAAACAACATTGAAAAGATTAATGTAACCCTCACATAAGGATGTCATTCAAATTTGCGAAGTGTTCTATCTATATTTTTCATTTATATGTCAACTCTGGATTTGAATGATGTGCATTTGCATATATACTTATCTAGATTTGTGTGTATATATATGTATATATGGCATTAAAGTCTAGGTATGTGTATACATGTACATAGATACTCACATACATATATATATATATTCATATACATAGAACTTGATTGTAACTATGAGATTTTTCGGAAGGATGAGAGGGCTTGGGAAGAAAAAAGTGATATAGGTTGAGTAATATGCATTGCTTTCCTGTGTGACAGTGGCATAAGGATTCTCAATGAAAGCTGTTAAACAATAGAAGAACCAACTCTTTGTTTTGTTGATTCTTTCTATAATTTTTTTGGATTCTAATTCATTTAATTCTGATTTAATTTTAATTCTTTCTGTCTACTGGATTGGGGTTTATCTTGCTGCTCTTTTTCAAGGAGGTTCAGACGTCTCATTAAATTGTTGGTTTCAGATCTCTCCAATTTGTTGATGTAGGAACTCAGAGCTATAAACTTGCCCCTAAGTACTGCCTTTGCTGTGTCCCAGAGGAGCTGGTAATTTGTGTGCTCATTTTTGTTGAATATCGTGAACATTTGAATTGCCTTTCTAATCTCTTCCATGACCCACTTGTGATTCAGCAGTGTGTTGTTCAGCCTCCATGTGTTACAGGACTTTCTTTGGTGGCTTTTGATATTGAGTTCTAATTTTATTCCCTTGTGGTCTGAGAGAATGCAGGATATAACTTCAGTGTTTCTGAATTTGGATAAGTTTGCTTTGTGATCTAAAATGTGGTCTATTTTGGAAAATGTTCTATGTGCTGCTGAGAAAAATGTGTAATCTAATGTTGCTAGGTGAAATATTCAGTAGATGTCTGTTAAATCTAGTTGTTCTATGCAGTTGTTTAGATCTGTGGTTTCTCTGTTGAGTTTTTGCTGAGTTAATCTATCTAGTGGGGATAGTGGTGTGTTAAAGTCCCCAACAATTAATGTCCTTGGATCTATGTGAGATTTGAGGGAAAGTAGTATTTCTTGGATGAGTTTGGGTTCTCCATTGTTTCATGAATAGATATTTAGAATTGTAATATCTTCCTGAAGGAGAGATCCCTTAATTAGTATGTAGGGACCTTTTTTTTTTTTAATCTCTTCTCACTAATTTTAATTTGAAGTCTATTTTATCTGATATTAGGATTGCAACTCCCGCCTGTTTATGGGGGCCGTTTGCTTGGTAGATTTTATTCCAGCCTTTCACTTTCAAAATATGTTTGTTTTTATTGGCAAGGTATGAATCTTGAAGGCAGCAGATATAAGGATCTGCAAACATATACTCTTTAAGCTCTTAGCACAATGCCTACTCGGTAATTGTTGACTCTTCATTATAATTGTCATATTGTAATGTTACCATCAGAGTGTCAAATGTATAATCAAATAGAATCAAATGATCAAATATGCAACTTTTTATAGTTTGAGCATTTAGCAATAAAATATTTTGATGGAGAAATTATATTGCTAGATAGCTTGGTGACTCATTTCCTCTTCCACCACTTCTTTTTTGAATTGGATATACTTATAGTATGAGTGTTTTATTGTGGTATTTCTATACATGCATGCAGTGTACTTTTAACAAATTTGCCTCCTGTGCCATATTTTTATCTTTCCTTCCTGGCTCTTTTTCAAAGTGTTTGGTGGGTTTCATTATGCTGTCTCCATACATTTACACACACACACACACACATATTTACACACACACACACACACACACTACATGTCCTTTAAGCCTCTCACCTGTCTCAGTGTCTTCTCCTTTCTCCCCTCCCCTGTCCTGCTGATTCCTTCCTACAAGATTTTTTTTACATTTATGTTTCATTGCCATTAGTTATCATAATTTGAGTTTTGTCCTCCACAAATGAACATGAGCATGTGAATTTGGCTTTTTGAGCTTGGCTTAATTAAGTAGCTTGACCTAAGGAGTTGATCTGTCCATTTTTCTGCAAATGATATACTTTTATTTTTTCTTTGTAATTGAGAATTTGTTTCTCTGTTAAATATATACACATATGTGTGTATGTATACACACACACACACACACACACACACACCATGTTTTCTTTATCTGTCCAGTTGTAAGGCACTTCAGCCACTTCCACAGTTAGGTGTCTTTCCTCTATATTAATTTATACTTCTTTGGAGATATGCTGAAAAGTGGCATGGCAGGCTCATAGATAGACTTATGTTTGGTTTTTTGAGAATAGTCCACGGAATTCCCTGATAGTTATACCAATTTACATATCTGCATATATTGTGTAAGGGTTCCTTTTGTCCCCAAATCCTGCCCATTTGTTGTTGGTCTTCTTCATGATTGCCATTCTGACTCAGGTGAGATAGAATCTTCATGTAGTTTTGATTTGTACTTCCTTTATGTCTATGGATAGTGAAGATTTCTTCATGCATCTATTAGCCATTTGTATTTCTTCTGAGGTATGTCTATTTAATGCATATAGTTATTTAATTGGATTATTTGTTTACAATGTTTAATTTTTTTTGAGCTTGTATGTTCCATTGATTAGTTAATGAAGTTTTACTCCCATTCTGTGGGTTGCTTCTTGAGTCAGGTAATTAACTGCTTGGGTATGCAGAAATTTTTTAATTTGATGCATTCTCTTTTGTCATTTTTTGCTGTTATTTTCTGGGCAGTTGAAGTCCTATTCAGGAAAAAAAAATTACCTGTTACCTAGGTCTTCAAGAGTTTTGCCTATTTCTCCCACCTTGAATGTAGAATTCATGGTCCCTTAGCTTAGATTTTTAGTTTTTGTTTTTGTCAGTTGTGGGGCTTGAACTCAGGGCCTGAGTAATGTCCCTGAGAGATCTTTTGTTCAAGGTTAGCATTCTACCACTGTGAACCACAGTTCCACTTCCGGTTTTTGAGTGATTATTTGGAGATTAAGCGTCTCATGGGGACTTTTTTGCCCAGGCTGGCTTCAAACTGTAATCCTCAGATCTCCACCTCCTGAGAAACTAGGATTACAAGCATGAGTCACCAGCACCTGGCCTTAGCCTAGTTTTTAAATCAAATTGTTAGGCTATAATTAAAAAGATACATATTTTCCTAGTAGAATTTTATGATATAAAGTAAGGAAAATTTCCAGATTCATTATTTATGACTAAGCCGTTTTCATTCTGTAAATCAAACTGGTTCTACTTACTCTCTTCTGGATATTAAGAGGATTCTAAGTAGACCACTTCATTAAGTATCTCAAATTGATTTACTGTACATCACCTTGGAAACCCTTGAGCATCTTCTAAGAAATTCTTGAAATATAGAATGTATTATTTGATGTGGTTATGTACCCAGAGCATTGGCTTTGGCCTTCATGGTCCAGTTTATTGACAGCAGATCTCACAAGCATAGTGAGGAGGCTTTGTACCCAGTACCTTTGCTCCCATTACTCCTTGGGTGGTGAGGTACACCTGGCCAAGTATTTCTAGGATGGCTCTTAGTATCAGCTCTTAGTATAGAGATAAACTGGAGACATCATCCCTGGAAATTTGAAATCAGATGTCTCAGGAAGTGATTTTTGACTGTGAATCCAAGTTAATCAGTTTTGTTAATGTATGCATGCATACTAATCCAGATACTTGGTATCTACCTTTGCCTTCCAGGTGACCTTTATGGAGCCATAGGCTCTCCAGTGAGATTGACTCGTACTGTGGTTGTGGGGAAGCAAAAGGATTTGATCCAGCGCATTCTTTATGTTCTGACCTACTTTCTCCGTTGCTCTGAGCTACAAGAGAACCAGTTGACCTGGAGTGGTAACCACAGTGAAGGTGACCAAGTTTTAAATGGGAGCAAGATTATGACAGCCTTGGAGAAAGGAGAGGTGGAAGAGTCCGAATATGTAGTAGTTACAGTGAGAAATGAGCCTGCTCTTGTACCCCCCATCCTACCACAAGTGATGACTGAGCGGAGGCATCCTGGGCCCACATGGTTAGCTGGGACCTCAGAAAGCATTGATACTAGAGATCTGAGTCCCAAACCTGATAGAGAAGGAATCAAAAAGCCAGAGAAGAATTCTGAGACTTACAGCATAGGATTCCAAGAGCCAGCACTAGACACTTCTTGGAAACCTCAGAGTACATCTTGTGGTGATGAAGAGAATGAACAAGAGGCACTACAAGGCAGCTCTTCAAGATTTCACTGTTGTGAGGTTCTTGGGGCAGGAATGATGAATCAACAAACTGTCCAAGAGCCGTTGAAAGGGGAGATGCTAAAGAAAGAATCAGACCAGCCAACAGCCTGGTCCTGCCCTGACAGATGTTCCTGGAAGGAGCCTCCCATGGGAAAGGTCACTTTCCAAATTGGAAGCTCTGTATCTCCTGAATCTGACTTTGAAAGCCGCACCAAAAAAATGGCAGAAAGGCTAAAAGCCTGTAAACAGTATCCAGAGGGAGCCAGTGCTTTGGCCGAGTCAGCTCAGAACCAGCAGGGCTTTGGGTGCACCTTCAATGCTGGCTTTCAGAGTGTCAGCGTTCCTCAGAACAGGCCTTCTGATGAGAAGGAAGGTGAATCTGACTGGAGATTTACTGAGGACAGAGGCACCAGAACCAGAACCATGGCAGATGCTGTGGGGCTGCTCAGCCAAGCTGTTGGCACACTTGTACCCTCTGAGAGTGCACAGGGAACTGGCAGGAGAACTCTGGAGCAAACAGTAGGTTTGCACTTGAAAAGCAAGGAAAGACCTTCACCAGAGCCTGTTGCAAATACATGTGGACATCAGGATTCTAGCTTCCTGGTTGCTGCAGATGTCCTCTGTGGGGATACCGACAGGAAGGCTGACTTTAGCATGGAAGGAGACATTCCCAGGAACGAAAGCTCTGACAGTGCTCTTGGAGATAGTGATGATGAAGCATGCATTTTAGCCACACTGGGCCTAGCTCACAGTGGTGATAGGACTGATGGGTCCTTGGAAGTGGAGTTGCCTCTGCCAAGGTAACACAGCTGGGCAGGGAAGCAAGGAGAGCTGGGACCCAATACTGTTACTGACCTGACACTTTGACCATGTTAGCTACTGTCGGCCTCTTTATACAGTTTGTTTTGTTTTCCTCTCAAAATATTAGCAATGTTACCAAATCTATACAATTTTTTTTCAGTTTGTCCTTTTCTCATAGGATGTTCACTGGTCTAGTAAGAATGATCTCTCTGAGGGGAGGACTACTGGCTGAATACAGTTATTGGGACATGGTGGTGGTAGTGCTAGGCAGCAGCAGGCTTAATTTTCTTTGATCTTCATGGAGGTATTTCTCAGCTTCTGAGGTCTTGCTTCTGAAGCAGTAAGGCTGTAGCCTTGTCTGCTTGTCTGTAGCCTTATGCTGCAGAGCAGCATAAGGTAGTTAGGAAACAAGACTTCTTAATAATCCATGAGACTCTTTATTGTGATGACTGAAAATCATAACTAGAAAATGTTCTTGTGCTGTTCTACACTGCAGTGGGCACCACCCCTGTCCAGATATGTTACATTCCTAAAGCTAGACTTTTGGCAAGACCCTCTTCCCCAACTTTTTTTTTTTTTGGGGGGGGGGGGGTGGGCAGTCCTGGGCCTTGAGTCTGGATGCGTCCCTGAGCTCCTTTTACTTAAGGCTAACACTATACCACTTGAGCCACAGTGCCACTTCCAGCTTTTTCTGAGTAGTTAGTTGGTAGTAATTAGTTGGAGATAAGGGTCTCATGGACTTTCCTGCCCAGGCTGCCTTAGAACCATTATCCTGAGATCTCAGGCTCCTGAATAGCTAGTATTATAGGCATAAGCCACCAATACTCAGCTCTAACATTTTTTCTTTACTCTTTGACACAAACTGCCTGATAGATGAGGTACAAGAATGAACTCTTAATCATCTATGGAAATGCTTTTTTTCTTAGGTGTCCATTAAAATAAAAACAAAAATAGCTCCCTTTTCCCTAATGTCCTCATTTTTGTTTTCCCACACTACTTACTGGAGACTGGTAGTTAGACCACACTGAAGCTATTTTATATTACTTATATCATTAGGGATTTTATTTCTGTTGTAATATCAGAAGGAAGTATGTCTTGTAACTGTGTATTTAATAGTCCAAATATTGTTTTAGGTCTCACAGCATCAGCAATCCAAATGTAAGAAACTTTGGCCGCTCACTTCTGGCAGGTTACTGTCCTACATACATGCCTGATATGGTGCTTCATGGGACCAGCAGTGATGAGAAACTGAAGCAGTGTCTGATGGCTGATCTGGTTCATACAGTGCATGTAAGTGACCCCATCTTGGAGCCATTGGCTACTGAAAGTGTGATAGCCAAGACTATGGCCAGCAATGGGTGTTCTTACTGAAAACATCTACTTAAGAGATTCCATATGCAGATGTGGGCAGGATAGGGAAACCAACAAGGAAGGGTAAAGTACTGTGAATATACATGGCCAGGATAAGTAAGCAGAGTTAATATGACAGCAAAGTTGTAGAGAAGATATACTGGGAAGAGGGACTGCCTGGATGGAGGGAAAGTAAGTGGGGCAATTGTACATCTGGCTGTCCCATCTCTCCCCTGTCTCTTCTGGTATCTTCCATTGGCCAGTCCCAGTGGGAAGCCTGAGAGCAAGGTCACAGCTAATGTGACTGTATCCTGTTATAATTAAGGTCAGGCTCCTTGGTCACAGAGCAGGATAGGGAAGGGCAAAGAATGGATTTAATGATGAATGGAAGCAGGCAGGCTGGGCAAACTGAATAAATGGCACAGATGGTGGCAATAATATGTCATCACAGGGAGGACCAAAGAGATGTTGTGTATTGTTTGCTTTTTATCCTATCCTTGCAAGTTCCTAAAACTAATTTATTTTAACTGATTTGTCATTAAGTTCATTTTGATGGCTGCATAAAAATGGAAAATTGCCTTGTAGCTGCAGTTAAGTGGTTTTCTGTTATCTGCAGTATGACATGAAATAAGAAGTTAAGAAAATGATGTCAATCTGATGGGCCTGTTAATTGAGCTGCTATTGAGCACATGCAAGAATAGATGTTTTGCATTAGAAATATAGTGTCTTGTGCAATAGGGAAAGTATTTTTGCATTAAGAAAATTGAAATTTGACTTGCTGGCTCCTCACCCAATAAGATTTTTTTTTTTTTTTTTTGTCAGTTGTGGGGCTTGAACTCTGGGCCTGGGCTCTGTCCCTCAGCTCTTCAGTTCAAAGCTAGTGCTCTACCACTTCAGCCACAGCACCACTTCCGGCTTTTACTGTTTATGTGGTGCTGAGGAATCGAACCCAGGGCCTCATGCATGCAAGGCAAGCACTCTATCACTGAGCCACCTTTGCAGCCCAAGGTTTTTTTTTTTTTGCAAGATAGAACAGAAGGTATTGCATGTTACCTTTGGCCTTGAACATGTTCTGTGAAGGCAAAACACACATCACACACACACAGGCTAAGCAGGCTGAGGTAGGAAGAAGAACTCAGCAGGAAAGCAGATGTCCTCATGACCCCTCCATGGGGATGTGAAGAAATGTGAGGTGTTTGGGAGCGGGGGCAAGGCCCATCCACTGTATATTCCTAGTCCCACCCCACTTTGTTATCAGACAGGACACATTCACCAGGATATTCCTGAAGTGTTTTCACACTGTAGTATTTCTCATTTCTTTAAACTCTTCAATCACCCCGAGATATGGAAAGTTATTAAGCTTAATAACCTGTATTGTGTCATATTGTGGATGACTCCAAAGTGCAGTCATGCATGGGTGTTAATAGGAAATTGTGAAGGGTTCATAAAAACATCTTTAGAAGTCTAATACATTTAGATCATAACCAATTATCATTAGTAATGGATTTCTAATTTCACATGTCATAGTCATCATCATGAATTTTGCTTTTGTCTATGTTTTAATTATATTTTTATTATCTTTAAGTAGTTATATAAACCGATTACCATTTAACATGTCACTTCATAAATATAGTGCATCTTGATTTATGTTGCCCCTTTCATCATTCTCCCTCATCTCTCCCACCTCAACTCCTCCCCTCAATTTTCTTACTTTCATGGGATATGCATTGAATATTACAATTGCATTGCCCCCTGCTTCCTCTATCCATTTTTCTACCTCCCTTCCCTTGATCTCTTCTCATACACCTTTCAAGTACTAGTTTCCTGATATTCATTTTGTTGAACTGTGGGTTAGTTTTCTAAGGAACTGCATAGTTTGAATTCTCCACTGCATATGCCATTTTGTATATACTTGCATATAACTTCATATTTGTTAACTTAAACATTTATAAATTAGTTCTAGCTTCCACATATGAGAGAGAACATGACTCTTGTATCTCACTTCACTTAACATAATTTCTTCCAGGCCCATCCATTTCTTTGCAAATGATATAATATCATTCTTCCTAAAGAATGAGCAAAATTCCATTGTGTTTATATACCACATTTTCTTGATCTGTTTGTCCATTGAGGGTCATCTTGGATGTTTTCATACCTTGGCTATAGTGAATAGTGCAGCACTGAATATCGTTGTACAAGTGTCTTTACTGTGTACTGAATTAAATCTTTTGGATAAATGTCCAAGAGTGGTATTGTTGGATCATAAGGTAGTTTGTTGAGAAATCTACAAATGCTTTTCAGAGTAATTGAACAACTTAACATTCACACCAACAATGTATTATGTTTCCTTTTCTCCTACATCAGAGCTAGCATCTGTTGTTTGTGTTATTGATGATGGTCATTCTGACTGAGTGAGACAAAATCTGTGTTGTTTTGATTTACATTTTTTTAATGGCCAGAGATAGTATTTCTTCCTATGTCTGTTGGCCATTTTTACTTCTGAGAAGTCTGTATTTAGCTTTTTTGCTGGTTTACTAATTGGGTTATTGATTCTTTGAGGGTTTAGTTTCTTGAGCTGTTGAACTATTCTAGATATTAGGCTATTGTCTGATATATAGCTCACAAAGATTATCTTCACATGACATATTCATTATCATGAATTTTGCTTTTGAAATATTGTTCATATAGACTGCCTCTCGGGCTGGCACTTTATGACAGTGGTTTTCTTTTTATGTCTTACTTCCAACTTATATTAATAAATGTTTGTTGGAAAAAATTAAGATTTTATTTGTTTTCCATCTTTTGACAAAAGGTATCACTATACAGTCAGGGTAGTCTCAAACTCCTGATCATCTGCCTCAACTGTGCACCACCTCTTTTGGCTGAGGAATATTTTTGAAAACAACATATTAAATTGACTGCCCCATAAATCATAGGGAGTATTTAAATTCTTGAGCTGTTGCAAGAGAAAGAGGGAAAGATCAAAAGGCAAGTATGTAGCTAGAGTTGTAGGTGAAAGAATAACTTGTGGAAGAAAAGACTAGAATAAATTGTGTTACCATTGCTTGATTGGATTTAAATAATTTCCAGTGTTCACATCAGACTTCACCAGGTTTTGATACTCATAATTTTTTGGAGCTTCATCAGGTACTTCATCAGATATTCATAATTCTTTTTAGAGAAGGACTTTATGTGTATGTGCCAATACTGGGGCTTGAACTCAGGTCCTCATTTTCCACTCAGGTCTGACATTCTACTTGAGCCATACATCCATTTACAGATTTTTTTTTTTTTGGGTCCGGTCGTGGGGCCTGAACTCTGGGCCTGGGCACTGTCCCTCAGCTCTTCAGCTCAAGGCTAGCACTCTACCACTTGAGCCACAGTGCCACTTCCGGCTTTTTTTTTTCTTTTTGCTTATGTGGTGCTGAGAAATCAAACCCAGGGCCTCATGCATGCAAGGGAAGCACTCTAACACTGAGTCACCTTCCCAGCCCCCATTTACAGATTTTTTGAAGGTTAAATGGAGATAAAAGTGTCAAGGACTTTTCTGCTCAGGCTGGCTTTACACTGTGATCTTCAGATCTCAGCCTTCTAAGAACTAGGCATGAACCACCAGTGCCTGGCTAGAGAAGGACCTTCCATATCTGTTTAAAAGCAATTGACTTATGTTATTGAATTATTTTCTAGCCCTATCTATGACTTATATCCCCAAATCTGTCTTCATAAATTTGTACTTTTATTACCGCAGTAGATTGTTTTAGAGTTTTTCTCCAGAGCCTGAGGGGTTTCCTTTTGAGAACTTCTAGTACCAAGATTTTCCTTTTGTACTTTTCTATGTCCTAATCTCTTACGGAAGCATATTAACTTTATTTACATTTATTTTCCCATTATTTTTCACACATTAAAATTCAGATTCTGATTTAGTCCATGTATTATCTCTTTGCTGCCAACATCTGCCTTAAATTAGTCTAAAGTAATACTGTTTTATTTTTTTCCGGCTACATCTGAATATGCATTCTTTTGTTTTCATTTTGGCTTTAAGTGGAGAGAGAATGCACATGCAGCAAACCAGTAGTTCTCTGGACCTGTGACCCTCAAGTAGCCTTTTCTTTCTTTCTGTGTCTTGTCTACCTGTAAATGCTACCAACCAAGGTAATATCAGGGTTATCCAACTAAGCACCAGAGTAGAGCAGGGTACAAGCAGAGTAGCTTGGGTACAAATCCTGTTATCCACATTCATTCCCTGATAATCTTAAATAAATCAGCTGGCATCACAGGCCTCAGACTGGAAATAGGATTCAGTTGTTTTTAGTTTGTTTTGTTTCTAATTTTTTTTATATTTTTAGGGTTTCAGATTCAGTATGTCAATTTATATGTACAATGTGTCTTGATCCATATGACTTCTTCCATCCAGTTCAGTTGTTTTGAGTTTGATATCTCTAAACAAACATGAGTTTGAAGTAGAGTTAAAAGTAGTGGCTTTTAACCTTGGGATAAGTTATTTTAATTTTCTCATCTCTAAAATGAACAGTACTGGGATCACAGGTTCAATCTGGACATTCTATGAGAAAATCTATATCAAGTGTGTAGCACAGTGCCTTGAATTCTACTAAATCCACCAGAAAGTTAGCTATTAAAATAATATACATGAAAGTGCTTTGTAAACAAAAGTAATATGAAGTGCTTTTAATATGGAGAGTATATGACCAGTGTTATTTTAATAAAAATCTAATTACTGTCTGAGTTTGGAAAGACACATACAGATGTATTTAAAGTTCTCCTGACTGATGATATTGATGGTCATCAGTCCCACAAAGCTCCTGTTCTGCTGAACAGAACCTTCTTCATACATGGGGCCAGCAGCTTTGCTGTAGGGTCACAGGAGCAAGCCAGATAGCTCTTAACTTCTTGATGAGTATAGTCACCAAACCTAAAATCAG